CCCCCTTTGTACGACTCCCCAGCCACACCCCTTCCATCACATGTGCACCTTGTCCCCTTACATCTCTCCACCCTATCCTCTGATGGTTATGATATAACGCTGTGTCAGCCGTGGTTCGAGTGTTGAGGGCCCTGCTTGTGACGGTACATAGTACAGGTGTTGCAGCACTTTTCGCTGTAGAAAGGATAGGAGCACAGTCTTGCCTGGGCGACAAGGTTACATATCTTTATTTTGTCTTTACAACTCGGATCTGTAAAATAGAAACATAGGGAATTAGTTAATATAATCCTTACACCCTGGATCTGTACAATATAAACATTTAAAATGAGTTATAATCCTTACAGCCCAGATCTGTCGTATATTTTCTTTTCTACAGCATAGATCTAAGTGGAGTAAGGGAGATAACTCCTGCAGTGATATGAAAATTTAACACCTGCAAGTCTAATGTATTATTAAACTCAAATGAGTTTACTTTGACTTCTAAATAAATACTGTCAGACATTATGATTTTCATGACCTACATGTCTATCAGAATACAAAATTTGGAACCTGACAAATAAAATAAGTCTCAAACTTTGTTTTCTTTAAATTTGTACACATTTCTGAATGTTCTTCAGGAGTTACAGGGGCATCTTGTTAAATAAATCAGACTTTCATTTGGTAGTACGGTATAAGACCTTGTAACATCCTATTTAGTATTTATATAAAGTCTTGACAAATAAACACATAAAGGAAAGGAGATATCCTAGTAGTGATTAAACTGGTGTTACCTTCATCAAGCTGTGGAAGTTCACATGACTGTTTATTACAGGCGGAGCGTCGTGATGGTCGGGAACCCACAGGACATGCAGAGTTTGGATGGAGCTTTGGATCCAAGCATTTTATTTCTCTTGTTCTTGTACCAGTTTCACAGCTTTTAGAACACTGCAATCAACAAATCCATCGCTTAGTGTCCTATAATTACTATAGACACTGATGAATGTTCGAGTAATCTATAACAAGAGGCCCATAAGACCTGCATCACTCAACTTGAAACAGAGTTTGTAGACATGGATCAAAGTCTTTATTTGAACAAAATCGATAGTCCTTCATACATACAACTTAAGACAAAATAATAAAAATATTATGATGCTAGGCTTCACAGTGTTAGAAGTCGTCTGAAGATATCAATGCATTTGACCATGTGACCGTGAATGTTAGACTAGGTAATTTACCTTAACGTTGTTGATAGAAATCCATACAAGTCAAATGTCATTGTTAGTAAAATTGCTTTAATATTTTAACATATCTGACTAGTGTGGCCTTTAAGTATGTCAAGATAATTTTTATAAACAATGCCAATAGCTCTTCATCCCAGCAGGCTTGTGAAAATGATCATTAATACAGTATACCATCTAAAAGATTTTGATACAAATGAACTCATTCACTCCCAAATTTTCATAATGAACTATTCCAGTCTTTGAAACGGAAGAGTTCAAATGCGTCTTCAGGAGGTGTGACGGAGTTAAGCATCATATGACAAGCATGTTGGAGGGACACTTGTAGTAATACATACCTGTGTGACGAACCCCTTGTAGGAACACTCCAGAGGTGATACGTACCTGTGTCCACTGGTGAGGAACCATTGTAAGGACACAGTCTTTGAAACGGAAGAGTTCAAATGCGTCTTCAGGAGGTGTGACGGAGTTAAGCATCATATGACAAGCATGTTGGAGGGACACTTGTAGTAATACATACCTGTGTGACGAACCCCTTGTAGGAACACTCCAGAGGTGATACATACCTGTGTCCACTGTGTAAGGTACCACTCGTAAGGACATTCCCGAGTAGATACGTACCTGTGTCTACTGTGTGACAAACCCCTTGTAGGAACACTCCAGAGGTGATACGTACCTGTGTCTACTGTGTGAGGAACCATTGTAAGGACACTGCGGAGGTGATACGTACCTGTGCCCACTGTGTGAGGAACCATTGTAAGGTCACTGCGGAGGTGATACATACCTGTGTCTACTGTGTCAGGAACCATTGTAAGGACACTGCGGAGGTGATACATTCCTGTGTCCACTGTGTGAGGAACCATTGTAAAGGACACTGCGGAGGTGATACATACCGGTGTCCAGTGTGTGAGGAACCATTGTAAGGACACTCCGGAGGTGATACGTACCTGTGTCTACTGTGTGATAAACCCCTTGTAGGAACACTCCAGAGGTGATACGTAACTGTGTCCACTGTGTGAGGAACCATTGTAAGAACACTCCGGAGGTGATACGTACCTGTGTCCACTGTTTGAGGAACCATTGTAAGGACACTCCCGAGGTGATATGTCCCGGTGTCCACTGTGTGACGATCCATCGTAAGGACATTCTGGAGGTGATATGTGCCTGTGCCCACTGTGTGAGGAACCATTGTAAAGGACACTGCGGAGGTGATACATACCTGTGTCCACTATGTGAGGAACCATTGTAAGGACACTCCGGAGGTGATACATACCTGTGTCTACTGTGTGAGGAACCCCTTGTAGGGACACTCCAGAGGTGATACATAACTGTGTCCACTGTGTGAGGTACCACTCGTAAGGACCCTCCGGAGTAGATAAGTACCTGTGTCTACTGTGTGACGAAACACTCGGACGGACACTGCGCAGGTGATACGTACCTGTGTCCACTGTTTGAGGAACCATTGTAAGGACACTCCGGAGTAGATACGTACCTGTGTCTCCTGTGTGACAAGCCCCTTGTAGGAACACTCCAGAGGTGATACGTAACTGTGTCCACTGTGTGAGGAACCACTCGTAAGGACACTCCGGAGTAGATACGTACCTGTGTCTACTGTGTGACGAAACACTCGGACGGACCCTGCGAAGGTGATACGTTCCTGTGTCCACTGTGTGAGGAACCATCGTAAGGACATTCTTGAGGGTTAAGCATCATGTGACAAGCGAGTTGGAGGGACACTTGTAGTAATACATACCTGTGTGACGAACCCCTTGTAAGAACACTCCAGAGGTGATACATACCTGGGTCCACTGTGTGAGGAACCATTGTTAGGACATTCTGGAGGTGATATGTACCTGTGCCCACTGTGTGAGGAAACATTCTAAGGACACTCCCCAGGTGATACGTACCTGTGTCCACTGTTTGAGGAACCATTGTAAGGACACTCCCGAGGTGATATGTACCTGTGCCCATTGTGTGAGGAACCATCGTAAGGACATCCTGGAGGTGATATGTACCAGTGCCCACTGTGTGAGGAACCATTGTAAGTAAGGACACTCCAGAGGTGATATGTACCTGTGTCCACTGTGTGACGAACCATTGTAAGGACACTCCGGAGGTGATACATACCTGTGTCCGCTGTGTGAGGAACCATTGTAAGGTCACTGCGGAGGTGATACATACCTGTGTCTACTGTGTCAGGAACCATTGTAAGGACACTGCTGAGGTGATACATACCTGTGTCCACTATGTGAGGAACCATTGTAAGGACATTCTCGAGGTGATATGTACCTGTGCCCATTGTGTGAGGAACCATCGTAAGGACATCCTGGAGGTGATATGTACCAGTGCCCACTGTGTGAGGAACCATTGTAAAGGACACTGCGGAGGTGATACATACCTGTGTCTACTGTGTCAGGAACCATTGTAAGGACACTGCGGAGGTGATCCATACCTGTGTCCACTGTGTGAGGTACCACTCGTAAGGACCCTCCGGAGTAGATAAGTACCTGTGTCCCTCCAGAGGTGATACGTACCTGTGTCCACTGTTTGAGGAACCATTGTAAGGACACTGCGGAGGTGATACATACCTGTGTCCAGTGTGTGAGGAACCATTGTAAGGACACTCCAGAGGTGATACATACCTGTGTCCACTGTGTGAGGTACCACTCGTAAGGACACTCCGGAGTAGATAAGTACCTGTGTCCACTGTGTGAGGAAACTATTGTAAGGACACTCCAGATTTGATACATACCTGTGTCCACTGTGTGAGGAACCATTGTAAGGACACTGCGAAGGTGATACGTGCCTGTGTCCACTGTGTGACGAACCATTGTAAGGACACTGCGAAGGTGATACGTACCTGTGTCTACTGTGTGAGGAACCATTGTAAGGACACTCCAGAGGTGATACATACCTGTGTCCACTGTGTGACGAACCATTGTAAGGACACTGCGAAGGTGATACGTCCCTATGTCTACTGTGTGAGGAACCATTGTAGGGACACTGCGAAGGTGATACGTACCTGTGTCTACTGTGTGAGGAACCATTGTAAGGACACTGTGGAGGTGATACGTACCTGTGCCCACTGTGTGAGGAAACATTGTAAGGACACTCCCGAGGTGATTCATACCTGTGTCCACTGTGTGAGGAACCATTGTAAGGACACTCCCGAGGTGATACGTACCTGTGTCCACTGTGTGACGAACCATTGTAAGGACACTGCGAAGGTGATACGTACCTATGTCTACTGTGTGAGGAACCATTGTAAGGACACTTCGGAGGTGATACGTACCTGTGCCCACTGTGTGAGGAAACATTGTAAGGACACTCCCGAGGTGATACATACCTGTGTCCACTGTGTGAGGAACCATTGTAGGGACACTCCGGAGGTGTTACGTACCTGTGTCTACTGTGTGAGGAACCATTGTAAGAACACTCCGGAGGTGATACGTACCTGTGTCCACTGTGTGACGAAACACTCGGAAGGACACTCCCGAGGTGATACGTACCTGTGTCCACTGTGTGAGGAACCATTGTAAGGACACTCCGGAGGTGATACGTACCTGTGTCCACTGTGTGAGGAACCATTGTAAGGACGCTCCGGAGGTGATACATACCTGTGTCTACTGTGTGAGGAACCATTGTAAGAACACTCCGGAGGTGATACGTACCTGTGTCCACTGTGTGAAGAAACACTCGGAAGGACACTCCAAAGGTGATACGTACCTATGTCTACTGTGTGAGGAACCATTGTAAGGACACTGTGGAGGTGATACGTACCTGTGCCCACTGTGTGAGGAAACATTCTAAGGACACTCCCCAGGTGATACGTACCTGTGTCCACTGTGTGAGGAACCATTGTAAGGACACTCCGGAGGTGATACGTACCTGTGCCCACTGTGTGAGGAACCATTGTAAGGACACTGCGAAGGTGATACGTACCTGTGTCCAGTGTGTGAGGAAACATTGTAAGGACACTCCCCAGGTGATACGTACCTGTGTCCACTGGTGAGGAACCATTGTAAGGACACTCCAGAGGTGATACGTACCTGTGTCCACTGTGTGAGGAACCATTGTAAGGACACTCCAAAGGTGATACGTACCTATGTCTACTGTGTGAGGAACCATTGTAAGGACACTCCGGAGTAGATAAGTACCTATGTCTACTGTGTGAGGAACCATTGTAAGGACACTCCGGAGTAGATAAGTACCTATGTCTACTGTGTGAGGAACCATTGTAAGGACACTCCGGAGTAGATAAGTACCTGTGTCCACTGTGTGAGGAACCATTGTAAGGACACTCCGGAGTAGATAAGTACCTGTGTCCACTGTGTGAGGAACCATTGTAAGGACACTGCGGAGGTGATACGTACCTGTGTCCACTGTGTGAGGAACCATTGTAAGGACACTGCGGAGTAGATAAGTACCTGTGTCTACTGTGTGACGAAACACTCGGACGGACACTGCGAAGGTGATACGTACCTGTGTCCACTGTGTGACGAACCACTCAGAAGGACACTCCGGCAGTGGTCCACACGATTCCTCAGTCACTGGTTTGTCAGAACTCTCACAATTGCCAGGCTTCACTGATGCAAACAAACGCTCTCCCACTTTCTTTATACAGACAACATCTCTACGGCGAACACCCTCCCCACAGGTAGCTGAACACTGTAAGAGAAATAACACACCATACCATGTAGATGTACTGAAAATTAGGCAGCATTCCATGTATACTTACCTGCAACAATTTCATTTACTTCCATATTTCATAACTTAGTCAAGAAAGCAATGATCAGGGCCACTATTCATGTGTTCTCAAGCTCAACAATGGATTCTGTGCTCAAGCTGAGTTCTTCTTTTTGAACAGCCCACCTTCCAATGATGGAAGGCATAAAATTCAGATTACCTTGACAATTTACAAAGATGTCAAATATTTGATTTTACTTGAATTGCATAAATTCGAAGAGACTTAAACAAGAGGCCCAGAGTGCCAGGGCCTGTATCGCTCACCTGAATATTTAAGCAGTCATAGCAAAATATTCTCATTAAATATTATATTGTACTACAAATATTTCACTCGCAAACTTTGTCGGCTCCTTCTGTTAAAACTACCTGCCAAATATTATCATATGATTTTTGGTTCTTCTTCAGAAATTGTTTGACATATTTTTTCCTGTGACCTTGAAAGTAGGTCAAGGTCATGTTCTTTCTCAAACTTTGTTAGCTCTATCCCTAGAAGGTACCGGCCAAATCTTATGAATCCATTCCGTTTGGTTCTTCAGAACAAATCGTTTGAAATGTTGTTGACCTCTATGACCTTTAAAGTAGGATGAGTTCATTTTCATTTGCAAACTTTGGTGAGCTCTATCCCAAGAAACCACCAGCCAAATATTATAATTTTATGCTTTTCAATTATTCAGAAAAAGTCGTTTGATGTTTCTGACATATTTGACACCTGTGACCTTGAAAGTAGGTCAAGGTCATTTTCATTCTCAAACTTTGTCGGGTTTTATCCAAGGAAGCCACCAGTCAAATATGAAGGTTCTATACCTTTTAGTTCTTTAGAAGAAGTCATTTGAAGTGTTTGACATATTTGACCATTGTGACATTGAAAGTAGGTTAAGGTCATTTTCATTCTCAAACTTTGTCGGGTTTTATCCAAGGAAGCCACCAGTCAAATATGAAGGTTCTATACCTTTTAGTTCTTTAGAAGAAGTCATTTGAAAAGTTTGACACATTTGACCCGTGTGACCTTGAAAGTAGGTCAAGGTCATTTTCATTCTCAAACTTTGTAGGGCTCCTACCAACGACGCTTTCAGTCAAATATCAACTTTTCCTTTAAAAAACTTCTGATGAAGAACAAACGGACGACTGACGGACGATGCACAATGACATAAGCTCACTAGCCTTTAGGCAGATGAGCTAAAAAAATGAAGTAAAATATTGCACAAACCTTTTAAAATTTAATTCATAATTTAATTTAGTGTAGGGTATTCTCTGTACAATGAAGTGTCTTTTCAAAGGACATATCCTTGGGATTCAAATGTTAAAAGAATGACAGACAAGAACTCAGATGCCATATATTATGAATTCATTGCATGGGTTCCTACAGCAGCCTGAGGACATATCATTATTGGTGAGTATTTTACACAGTGTGACCTTCCTGAACTTTACCATTTACTTTACTAATAACCATTCAAATATTGATCTGAAAAAATCCTATCACAGACAACCGAGTGCAGCCATACAACCATAAGTATATTTCAATTAATTCCATTTCAATATTTGATTTAAATTTACTTTCCTGACACTTCAGTCTAACAGACATTCCAGACCCACTGGAGTTCTGTTTGCTAAGGAAATTTGAGTCCCCACTTAAAATCCAGAATTCCATCAACTGTCGTGTTGTCAGTAATCATAATGGATTATCGACTTGGTTTACAATAACAGATACTTTACAGGAGGCAACTGGACATATTTTCAAGAGTTCTTGAGTTATAACTCCCTGGTCAACACGACAACAAGTTAAGAGTAGGGGTCAGTAAGATAACACTTGTTAGCCACCAAATAAAATACCTTAGATAAAACTGCCCTATAAGTATGTATTTGTTTATTCTACAGATTCACTAAGTAACAAGTAAAATGTTATTGATTTATCGAAATCTCATACATTTGTAAGCAGACTATGGTTTTTATCTAATTTTATTTTGAAAAAGGGGCAACATTTCCATCTTGTAGATCAAAACTTTAATTCATTCACCCCTAAAGACACATTTGAACTCTTCCAATTCAAAGATCGGAATAGTTTATTATGAAATTGTAGGGGTGAATGAGTTAAGGATCCACCTAATGTAATTGTTTTCAATAAGAGGTCTCCCACTACACACCTCTGACCAGGGACCCTCAAACCAGCTCCCTCCGCAAGGTTTCTTGTTTTTGCACTTCTTCTTCTCTCTCGGTTTGCTGCCAGAACATTTCTTCTCATCAAGTGGGGTACCATCCTCTGCAGAGCAGTACACAGTACGGTAGTAGTATCCCTTACCACAGTCAGCAGAGCACTGTAAATACACAGAGACATCTGTATAAGTATAGTCTACTGTACCACCTTACACTTTAAACAGTAACATGTCACAATATCATCAGCTCAATACATTTGTATAAATCTATAAAACAATTGTGGACTGCTAAAAAAATGATTTTAGAACACAGGGACATCTTTATTAGGGATGAAATGTGCAAATATACAACAGCATGGAAATATTATTTCACAATTATATTACAACCTTGATACAGTTACATAACAGCTAAATGCAGTTACTGAATTGAGTTCACGGAGCAGCCCGTATGTATGGACTAACTCTATAAACTGACAGTACAATTGACCAATACTGACCACCTGTGAATAGTGACCACTTCTTTAAAAGGATCACCTGTGTAGCGACCTAATTCAGTCATTTAAAGACACTTTACTGTGCGAAAACACAAAATACCATACATAACGACTCCCTCTATACACCGATCCTTTCTGTGGTACGACTATGCGTCACCGACAGCAGATCTATGGCCGATTAGGTGGGGCAGTGGATACCCGATTGCCTTTTACCAAAATTGCCAAGGTTCAATTCCCTGATCGAAGGTGAAAAGTTATTAGGTCACCTGCCCCATCATTTGCGTTTTCTCTCGGTACTCCAGTTTCCTCCCATATTAACTCTTTCCGTACCGCAAACCGGTCCAGATTCCTTACCAGATGTTCTTACTAGACTCGCCCACGCGCAAATAACAAAATGGCGGATTATCAATGTTCATTTTAGACGAGGTGTAATTGCTGCAAGAATTAAACAGGTAACCGTGAATAAATATTGTTATTGTTTCATGTTTTGTTTAAAGACACACACTTCTTCATTTTCGTAGCATGATGACTAACTGGCAGCTAATTATGACTGAAAAATCGACATCTGTTCGGCAACAAACGATACGAAACCTTGTTTTCAAAACAGCGTTGTAGTGGAGGTTTCTAATAGGGATTGATTATTGTTTACGAATATGAAGTCGTTAGGGTTTTTTCTACTTTCAAGCAAATTTCATTAAGACTTATATTAAAATATTCATATTTACTTCTATAAGTCTAAATAAATATTTGGTAATGAATTTATGATTGTTCATATCGAAATAAGTTATTATGTTTATATTTGAATCAGCAAATGCAAACATCTTGCGGCAAATTCGAAAACAATAGGTCACAAAATATAAATTGTGTACTCTGCACCTATAAAACTATTTCTTTCCAACTGATGATTGCTAATTTTAGAGACAGATAATTGTATTACGTGATTGCCGTGTGCGATAACCAGTTAAACATAAGACAAATTACACCAAAGTCTGTTGTCGTGTGAACACGACAACGGGGATGAGATGGCCTATTTTTTTGTCGTCTGTACACGACAACGGGGACCAGGATGACATATTGTTGACGTGTGTACACGACAACGGTACGGAAAGAGTTAAGACCTTCTGCGCCCTTCATATAAGTATCTTATAGGATATGTATTATTATTATTAGGAGAGATGAAAATAGGGAGTGTTGGCAAAAAATGTAATTTGTCCATGTTAAGATTTTTTATAAGCACTACAATGTAGACTGTCAAGCACTAAATATAGTCCATTTTCGTAGAGACATCCCCAGCAAGGTGTTTCGACCGACCTTGACATTAAAAACGAAATCCAACAGACAACATCCTGCTAGTACTTTGTATACTGTAAGTATCAACACAATTGTGATTTGGTTCATGGCTATTAGGAAGTGCCTCAATCTGTCCGTGAGTGCTTATATTGAGCTGCAGCAATTATAACCTACGTAACTGTAAGAGGTTTATATTATTGCTCACTCGTGTGGAGGAAGTGCAGTCATTGTATTGCCTTGCACCCACACAACTTCCGTTCTTTATCGGGACTGTATACTGGATAACAAACAAAATTAACTTCCGTTCTTTATCGGAACCGTATACTGAATAACAAACAAAATTAAACTCAGACTTTTTCAGAAATGTTTATTGTATTTTTTTTTTATTGTAGCTGAAACTGTGGTGTATTGCATTACTTTGATAGATCATAATTTAGCTGTGAATATATATGACTCCAGTATTACCATATTCTTGACAATATAACAATGTACAATGTATTAGCAAAAGTTGGTCGAACTGCAAAAATGTGACTTCAAGTAATCTTGACAGCATTTGTGCTTAGAGCAAAAAGACAATATGACAATATATTAACAAAAGTTGGTCAAACCTATTATCTCTGAGGAGGGAAGAAATTAAGTCAAGTCTCACCAATTGTAACATAATTTTTTCAATCTTACTGCTGTTTGCACTTGTTTATGTAATCTTGTTTCAGCTGCTGACAGTGCCATTTTATCGGAGAGATAGCTAACTTCTGTGTGTGTGTATCATTTCTCATCCCTCGGCCAGTTTTTGTGGTCCAGTGTCACTGAGACAGGGAACCACAGCAATAAACTCTACATGTGTTACACTGACATAAAACACATCATATCTCCTATAGATCTAAAACATATCATACTCCATTACCAATGGCATCACAAAACACACTTTACCCCATATACATTGAGATCTCAACCATATCACACCCTCTTTACACTGACATCAAAAACACATCATCCCCTTTACACTGACATCACAGAAACACAATACCTCATTTATTATACCACACCTTCTTTAAACTGACATCGCAGACACAATATATACCCTTTACACTGACATCACAAACACTATACACCCTTTAAACTGACATCACAAACACAATATACCTCTTTACNGGCTGATGTGCTAATCTCCATAGACATACGAGCAGAGCAGGCTGATGTAGAAGTCTTCACAGACAAACGAGCAGGCTGATGTAGAAGTCTTCACAGACAAACGAGCAGGCTGGTGTGGAAGTCTCCACAGACAAACGAGCAGGCTGATGTGGAAGTCTTCACAGACAAAGGAGCAGGCTGATGTGGAAGTCTTCACAGACAAAGGAGCAGGCTGATGTGCTAATCTCCATAGACATACGAGCAGAGCAGGCTGATGTAGAAGTCTTCACAGACAAACGAGCAGGCTGATGTAGAAGTCTTCACAGACAAACGAGCAGGCTGGTGTGGAAGTCTCCACAGACAAACGAGCAGGCTGATGTGGAAGTCTTCACAGACAAAGGAGCAGGCTGATGTGGAAGTCTTCACAGACAAAGGAGCAGGCTGATGTGCTAATCTCCATAGACATACGAGCAGAGCAGGCTGATGTAGAAGTCTTCACAGACAAACGAGCAGGCTGATGTAGAAGTCTTCACAGACAAACGAGCAGGCTGGTGTGGAAGTCTCCACAGACAAACGAGCAGGCTGATGTGGAAGTCTTCACAGACAAAGGAGCAGGCTGATGTGGAAGTCTTCACAGACAAAGGAGCAGGCTGATGTGCTAATCTCCATAGACATACGAGCAGAGCAGGCTGATGTAGAAGTCTTCACAGACAAACGAGCAGGCTGATGTAGAAGTCTTCACAGACAAACGAGCAGGCTGGTGTGGAAGTCTCCACAGACAAACGAGCAGGCTGATGTGGAAGTCTTCACAGACAAAGGAGCAGGCTGATGTGGAAGTCTTCACAGACAAAGGAGCAGGCTGATGTGCTAATCTCCATAGACATACGAGCAGAGCAGGCTGATGTAGAAGTCTTCACAGACAAACGAGCAGGCTGATGTAGAAGTCTTCACAGACAAACGAGCAGGCTGGTGTGGAAGTCTCCACAGACAAACGAGCAGGCTGATGTGGAAGTCTTCACAGACAAAGGAGCAGGCTGATGTGGAAGTCTTCACAGACAAAGGAGCAGGCTGATGTGCTAATCTCCATAGACATACGAGCAGAGCAGGCTGATGTAGAAGTCTTCACAGACAAACGAGCAGGCTGATGTAGAAGTCTTCACAGACAAACGAGCAGGCTGGTGTGGAAGTCTCCACAGACAAACGAGCAGGCTGATGTGGAAGTCTTCACAGACAAAGGAGCAGGCTGATGTGGAAGTCTTCACAGACAAAGGAGCAGGCTGATGTGCTAATCTCCATAGACATACGAGCAGAGCAGGCTGATGTAGAAGTCTTCACAGACAAACGAGCAGGCTGATGTAGAAGTCTTCACAGACAAACGAGCAGGCTGGTGTGGAAGTCTCCACAGACAAACGAGCAGGCTGATGTGGAAGTCTTCACAGACAAAGGAGCAGGCTGATGTGGAAGTCTTCACAGACAAAGGAGCAGGCTGATGTGCTAATCTCCATAGACATACGAGCAGAGCAGGCTGATGTAGAAGTCTTCACAGACAAACGAGCAGGCTGATGTAGAAGTCTTCACAGACAAACGAGCAGGCTGGTGTGGAAGTCTCCACAGACAAACGAGCAGGCTGATGTGGAAGTCTTCACAGACAAAGGAGCAGGCTGATGTGGAAGTCTTCACAGACAAAGGAGCAGGCTGATGTGCTAATCTCCATAGACATACGAGCAGAGCAGGCTGATGTAGAAGTCTTCACAGACAAACGAGCAGGCTGATGTAGAAGTCTTCACAGACAAACGAGCAGGCTGGTGTGGAAGTCTCCACAGACAAACGAGCAGGCTGATGTGGAAGTCTTCACAGACAAAGGAGCAGGCTGATGTGGAAGTCTTCACAGACAAAGGAGCAGGCTGATGTGCTAATCTCCATAGACATACGAGCAGAGCAGGCTGATGTAGAAGTCTTCACAGACAAAGGAGCAGGCTGATGTGATAATCTCCATAGACATAGGAGCAGAGCAGGCTGATGTAGAAGTGTTCACAGACAAACGAGCAGGGTGGTGTGGNCACAGACAAAGGAGCAGGCTGATGTGGAAGTCTTCACAGACAAAGGAGCAGGCTGATGTGATAATCTCCATACNACAAACGAGCAGGGTGGTGTGGAAGTCTTCACAGACAAACGAGCAGGGTGGTGTGGAAGTCTTCACAGACAAAGGAACAGGCTGATGTAGAAGTCTTCACAGACAAACGAGCAGGCTGGTGTGGAAGTCTTCACAGACAAACGAGCAGGCTATTGGGGAAATCTTCACAGACAAAGGAGCAGGCTGATGTGGAAGTCTTCACAGACAAAGGAGCAGGCTGATATGAAAATCTCCACAGATATAGGAGCAGGCTGATGTGAAAATCTACATAGACAAAGGAGCAGGCTGATGTGGAGTCTTCACAGACAAAGGAGCAGGCTGATATGAAAATCTCCACAGACAAAGGAGCAGGCTGATGTGGAAGTCTTCACAGACAAAGGAGCAGGCTGATGTGATAATCTCTATAGGCATATAGGAGTAGGGTAGATATAAGAATAGGCCGATGTAGGGGTCTATGTTTTAAGATAATGGGTGCATGCTGTGTCTGGTGATTACCTCAACAGTAGTAGTAGCTGAGTGTGAAGGCTACCATAATAATAGCTCTTTTATCACACCGATTATAAAAGTGTCAGGAAAGGTAGGGAAAGCAGCTATTTATCACGAGATGTAATACAGTGCAACCTTTTATTATACATAAATTATGATTGATGAAATATTTGCACACACACACACACATACATATAGAGAGATATTATTGGTCTACATTTAGGGTAACGTGATTTGGTTGCAGTCTACAGCTGTACAGAATCTGAGTGATTTTCAGTTTACCTGTTAAGTTATGTTGATAGCTTTCATGACCAATATTTCATAAACATTTTAGAAATCATAGCTGTAAGGAGAAACAAGTAGCCTGGTATGTAAATACTCCATATACTGCTTACCTAATACACTTAAATTGTTGTCAGTCTTTTACACTCAATAAATGGTAAGTATTTAATCTTCAATATACTGTCAGAGGAAACAGTGGCATAACTAAGGTATTTTTTTTGGCATGTTTTTACGTTACCCTTTTTGATAGAAAAGGACAACATGCTCAATGCGGGTTCTTTTGTGGCATAATTGACATCTTAGATGATATGGGTAAGATATCTTACAAATTGTCACCAAGATATTTTACAAATAATCATCCAGATTTCTTATAAATTATCACCCAGATTTCTTACATATAATCAGTCAGATATCTTACAAATATCTGCCAGATTTTTTTAAACCTTCACCAGATATCTTACATTGTGTCATCTTACAAATTATCACCCAGACATCTTAAATGCTGTCAACAGATATCTTAAGATTCTGTTACCCTAGGCTACAACCAGCCACCTACATACCTTAAAATCTACCAAAGGGAAATGGGGTTCAAAAGTCTATGATATTGGAGCAAAAACCTTTACATGTGGTCCAACCAGCCAGGGAAGGACACCCAAGATAATAAATGTAGGTTTCCCTTCTACTTAGGGCATTAATGATCTGATAATTACCAGGCAATGATAATTTATATGAAGGAGGAGAAAGGTGAATGGTATCTGTATGTGAGCTGAAGGCATAAAGTTATCCCTCTGTAGTTTTAATGATCTACAACCAATCAGCATTCACACATTTCACCTGCAGCTGAATAGGCTGTAAGAAAAAACGTGAAAATTGATCACAAAAAAGTCACTTAAAGCAACCGTTTTTATTTGCTGGGGGAGTGTCCAGGTGAATCTGACATCCAGACCTTACGGTTCTCTATTGGAGTCTGAGGTTAATTTGCTTCCCATACAGAATGTCTCTATAAAATACAAATTGCATTCCCGGTCTCCTAACCGATCCACAGTGAATGTAAGCCTACCGTCTCTCACGGTGAATGTAAGCCTACCGTCTCGTACATTAGGTTTTAACTACTCAGGAGGTTAAGGACATGTACCACTAAACATAGGCCTGCTCTTAAGAGTTTCACAGGCACCACATATATTTCTTTGAAAATCGTCATATCAAATCTCAAAAAAGACAACTCCTTATACTCTGACACAATTTCATATTCTATTAAGCAATTCTATTACATTTTTTTCCAGTGAAACATATAGCTTTGTAGTGAAATTAGTATTAATATGTTTTACAGTGAATAATAACACCTCTTATACTATTTTCACACTTAATACCAGCCTTCAGCGATCAGGGTTTTATGTAATAAATAAATAACAATTAACATTGTCAATTATGATCAAGACATTTTGATTCATCAGTCAAGCCTAGAGTCAACTTAATTCATCAGTCAAGCCTAGAGTCAATTTGAACACAACTTGTTCATCTGATATGGGTGGATTAACGATATACTAGTTACAAAGAATGTCTTTAAGGTTTTCTTTTAAAGAAAACTTCTCTTTTCAGAAATTTGCATTGGAATGTACTTTTAACATGTTTGAAAACATAAAGTATTTGTTGAAGCGTTTTCTCAATATGTGATCTTGGCAGGCCTGATTGACCGCCGGATAAAGTAGGATGGGCTGATCCCGTTATCATGTTACATGTTCCTACATCAATACGGAGGTGTTGACGGACAGAGATTGATCTCCACGTACATCATGACCTAACTGATTGTTAACAGATTGTACCAGTAGTCCACACCTAACATTGGACACTCGGGAGTACTTCTCCCCTACTTGTTAGGTCAGAAGATGATAAAGCACACATCTGTTTTAGCATGTTTGTTTAAAGAACACTGACCTCAAATGGAGAACAAAATAAACAGATGAATTTCATCAGAATTTATTTTGAAATAACTCTCGATCTGACATACATCTGAGTGGTTTTCAAATAAATTTTACACTGCTATGTATAGAAAACATTGTAGATACAGAATTATAGGAAATAGCAAAAGGATAGTCCTTAAATTGTATTAGTTTAAAGCAAGAACTTCTAAATTTATCTAAAACATTTGGACTCGTCTGCAAAAGATTCAGTATGTACCCTTATGCATTGCAATATATATATTTGACATATTAAAGGCAAAAAACGTTTTGTGGGTACACTAACTCGACAATTAAAAATTTTGTTCTTACTTACAGAACAGGAATTCACATTCGCAGATATCACTTTAATTTTATGATTGAATGTTGACATTACATCATTTCTAAATCACATGTTAATCTTATCGTCCCAAATTAGAACACTGACAGGTCTTCTGTAAGGACCCCGTCTGTGCCTGACCTTGACTCGGCCCCCGCCAATGGTACCCTCTGGGTTCCTTTTTAAGTAACAGTGACCTTGATCTTAGACATTTTTTGAAACCCTTGTTGAACATCTACATTTCACAGTGTATTATTATGTCCAAATTCTGAAAATTTCTGGAAACGAAAAAGTGGACGAACAGAGAGATTGGTACCGTGATTATTTTAGGGCACTTGAATCCCTGATGCAGGGGGCCCTAATAAAGAGCCGAGAACATCAATATAGCTATACATATGGTCCCCTTAAAATGCCATACTATTTATATGGAAATGAATACATAAAACATGAATTTTACCAAAATTTATTTGGATCATTCAAAAAGGCCATGATATAAATAAGACCAATTTTCCTCAGTGAGACTGAAGAGGGGCTGGAGTCTGGACATTATTAAGGAGAACTTTTCTATGGAATGTATTCATATAGGTTTGTGTCATTCCTTGGCCAAAATGTATTCTGAGTGACTTTTACTAATTAACATACAGTGTTATTGATACTCCTAGAACACCTATAGTCTGGTGTCAGTAAGTTATGGACATCTGCCTGGCTGGCATTCCTTAGTTTGATGGTAAACCAAATATACAACCCTGGCTTTATGACACGTCAAAGATCAGTGTAAACACAGAAATAAGTTGGTATTGAACAGGCTTCTGTGTGACATAGCTGTAGCTAAGATTGATATGTAATTAGTGGAAGGTAGACCATATAATATGCCCCGGTGTTTGTCACGTATATGTTTAGCATTATAGTAGATGTTAGGAGTTTGAGGATCCAAAATGTTATGATCTCCAAATCTTTCATTTTGTCTCTCTAAACAAAAATTAATAAAGTATTAAAAGACGAAAACTTTCTCTTTAATACTTCACCTGGAAACCACTTGGAACTCATCTGGAGACATCTCTTAACCTAACATAAACCTTAACGAACTCAGTTAAAAGTTTTGTAGTAATCCTAAAGTCACATGACAATGCTTAATTGAACTCATCCAACACCGCCTGAACATCAAAGGAAACTTATTGGCTGGATTTTTCTGAAACTGTTATTGAATATATAGAGGACTGTGATTAAGCATTACATTTGAGATCAGGCTGTACAATGGACACCCTGAAGCACCGACCTACCTCCTTGGACCACCTTGTATGGAACCATCCCCTGGCACAGGTTCCCATGTCACATGTACTGATATTCTCCGGCCTGATACCCTTACAAACACGCTCCTCTGCTTCACCCCCCTCTATACCCTCACAGTACACCTTCCGCACCCTCTCACCACGCCCACAGTTGGTTGAACACTGAAAAGGTGGAAAAAAATATAAAAGAATGAAATCATGAGAAAATTCAAACAGAATATATAAAATATACTATTAACTTCAAAACAAGGACAGATAATTATGATTTCTCTAAGCTTATTTTGCAGCACCTTATCTAATAATCATTTTTGATAAAAAAAAAAAAAATAGCCTTATTATAGACTTATGAGCAATTCATTTTCCATTTTTTTTCCTGAAAAAAAATTCATGATGATAAATACAGTAAAGATTAATTAAGAATATCTGAAACCTACATCTCTCCAGTCCTCAGCCTTCCAGGAAGCACATGCTGGGGCCTTACAACTCCGCGCTGATTGTGGGCGTTCCTCACCCCCACAACGGGAGGCGGCCACCGTGACGATGTGAGTGGCAGACACACGCTGGCGGCACACTACCTCTCTGGTCTGCATCCCCTCCCCACATGTCACACTGCAGTCTGTCCAGTTCTGGGTGTGCCAACTGAAACACAAATGGGACATAAGTAACAGAGCAACAACACCAAGGGGAAACAACTCACACATTACCCAAAACACCAAGGGGACATAACTAACACAAAAACAATGCCAAGGGGACATAACCAGCACTACATCAACACCAAAGTTACATAAATTCCACAGCAACGACACCAAGGGGATAACAACTAACATGACAATGACACCAAGGGGACACAGCGAAAACATCAGCAAAACCAAGGGGACACAATTAACACAGCAACAACACCAAGAGGACATTACCAATACCACATCAACACCAAGGGGCACAACTATTACAAAGACATCAGCAATGGCAAATAGCTAACACAACACCAAACACCAAGGGGACACAACAAACACCAAGGGGACACAACTAACACAACAACAAACACCAAGGGGACACAACAAACACAACACCCAACACCAAGGGGACACAACAAACACAACACCCAACACCAAGGCGACACAACAAACACAACACCCAACACCAAGGGGACATAACCAACACCACATCACTAACATCAAGATGAGGGGTTGTGGTGAATTTCCCATCAAATGATGTCTTTTTAAAAACATGAACTCATCATGTCAAGGCCATTTTAAACAAAGCAAATCTGATGTTTTTATATTCATGTGGAGTTTTCAGCTCAGTGTTTGTTTTATACAAGACACTGAACTCTATCAGGACACCCCTACCAAAACTTACACCTGTAATGCCCTAACACATACTGGATAGTGTGGTGCAGGTCTCCTCAGACACAGGGAAGCACTGTGAGACAAACACTTGCCTGTGTCCTTTCTTTAATTAAATTGTTCCCTGCTGACATTTTGCATCATGTCTGTCAGACTGGGAGCCCTATCACTAGATACCACTGGTATGTTATTGCTTCCTCCAAAGTTCCAGAGTAGAAACAACTACACCCAGCATACCAGATACTAAATCCTTTAAACTTCTGAAACGTGAGAGACTTTTAAACCAACTCAAAAATACAAAAGAAAATATGTAACACGTACAAATACTTCAAATTGACACAGGAAGCGATACAAACAAAACATTTATCATCTGCACAGATACCTAAAACTGGCTCATGTAAAGACTTTAAACTGGCTAGTGTACCGTCACAAAATGTAACTATTCTAAATCTGGAGTGTGAGTAAAGATAGAATACTTTCAAATCAAAGGACATACACAGTTAAACTCATCATTGATATACCTGACTAAGACACTGACAGTAAAAAGTATTTAAGGAGATTCCCTAGTCAGCACAAACTGAAAATGTTCTCAGACCATACTTGTGATCTCAAGTTTTGTAAATCAAGACAAGAAGTCCAATGGGCCTTAATCGCTCACCTGGTATTAATCTCACACCTGTAATCTTAAAAGTGGACTAATATACAGCTACAAGCAGAATATCAGTATTTGATTCATAAGAACCTATTAAAAGATTTAAACATATGGTGCCTGTGACATTGAATGTCGAACAAAGACATTAGGTTGAACAGAGTTTATAGTCTTCCAACCCAGCATGCTTCTGGCAAAATATCATTACCCTGGACCTTTTGGTTATACAGAACAAGCCATTTAAAGATTTAAACATATATTGACCACTGTGACCTTGAATATGGGCGAAGGTCATTATTTTGAACAAACTTGGTAGTCCCTTATCCATGCATGTTAATGGCCAAATATCATCACCTTTGGCCTTTTGCTTATTGGGAAGTCGTTTATAGGTTTTAAACATATTTAACCCCTGTGACCTTGAATATAAGTAAAGGTCATCAATTTGAACAAATTTGGTAGTCCTTCATCCCAGCATGCTATTGGCCAAATATCATGACCCTAGACCTCTTCGTTATTCAGAAGAAGTTGCATATTTGACCCCAGTGACCCTTGAATATAAGTAAAGGGCATTCATTTGAACAAACTTGAGAGTCATTCATCCCAGCAAATTACTGACCTAATATCATTATCCTAGGCCTCTTGGTTATTCAGAAGAAGTTGTTTAAAGATTTAAACATATTTGACCCCTGTGACCTTGAATATAAGTCAAGGTCATTCATTTGAACAACTTGGTAGTCCTCTATTACAGTATGCTACTGGCCAAATATCATTATCCTAGGCTTCTTGGCTATTCAGAAGAAGTTGTTTCAACGTTTTAAACATATTCGGGCGAGGTGAGCTAAAAAACAAGAAAGCATTGCAAGGCAACCCATAGTCCCCCACCTTTAATGATTTCTTTATTTGCTGAGCTGCATTCTGCCAGCCAAGACATACTTGCATACCAAAATTGGTTACTCCAGCTAAAATAATACAGAAGATATGCCAAAGACAAAACTTTTCAAAAAATAAGGTCAAAGGTCAAACCATAATTCAAAGTGACCTACTTTTTGTACTTGACACTCTGCCATTCCAAGATGTACTTGCAAACCGAATCTTGTTACTCCAGGTGAAAAAGTTTAGAAGATTGTTTGCCCTAGACAAACTTTTTCAGAAGTTGAGGTCAAAGGTTAGTGACCTACTTTTTATACTTTGACACTCGATTAACACAAGATGTACTTGCATACCAAATAGGGTTACTTCAGGATGGACATAATTTGGTTGGACAGAGTGCAAACCTATTGCCCCACTATTTTTGCACATTGTTACTAATATTATAACTATTTGTATAATCTTTGAATTATCACTTTGTTATATTTTCAACAAATCTGAAATTCACACATATTTGCAAACAAAATGAAAACCACATTGATGGTTTCTGTTTATTCCATGATTAAATTCATCGGATAAGGAGATCAACTTCATTTTTTGTACCGATGGGCATATACGTACATTGACATTTCCCATTCCTACTCCAACACTGCCAACAGAAATACACACTTTTTTTCTCTGATTTGAATGCTACAGTTGTTATACTTACTATCTTTACATTTTCAAATTTTCAATTCAAGTCCCAATTTAAACACTAACAGATGAAATCACTTTTGAAGGGCTATAAATGCAATTGGATCAGTGTCAGTTTGACACTTCTCTTCCAGCCTCATAATATGAGTCTGTCATAAGATGTAAACATTTAGCTGAAATTAGGTTTTTACAAATTAATTTTGCACTAATAATACACACACATTCAATACTATATCACTAAAATAATTACTACGAAAGCCCTGGAGTAATAATTTGACACCGAGCAGATTCTGAAAAAGCCTCCTTTGAATATTCAAAACATGAATGCAGTGAAATAGATATTGCTGACATAAAGGAAAAAACTTCCGACCAGCCTCCGCCCTTGAGGAACCTTCTTGGACATGTAAAAGGTGCTTGCTGCTGAGAATGTCTATTTAAAGGTTTTAGTAAACAACAGACTTTCATTCCTTTAAATATCAGAAGGGCACTCTTCACATAAAACATTTTGAAATACATCTAATATATTTTAGCCAGTTTTCCGTCCCTGTGACAAGCACTATACATTCCAATGCTTCTCTGGTTAAAGAATATTTAAGAGGCACTTCAATTTTTTCAGTAATTTCTTTGCCTTTATTAAACATTCTAAATTGATATTAGACAAAAAACAAACAGAATTCCTCATAACGTGATTATTTTTTGTTAATTTCCGGTTTTCTACCATAACGAGAAGATAACGGCTATGAACATGTTTAATATTATAGTGCATTAAGTGTTATTTGATATTACTTCTGCGATCTCAAATTTCTTTTCTTACTTGTAAAAATAAACAATAATTATAAGGACTGTGGTGGTAGATGTTGACTATCTCAGGGATCAGTAATTAGAGTGTAACGCCCACAGAACCCTGGTGTTACCAGTCAGTGGGGCTCACGCTCCAGTGTACGTATAACCACGGCCACACTTCATATCATATGTATACATACATTTACATGCTTTCATTGGTAATGACTTCATTGATAGTAAAAAGACAAGAATTTTAAAACATCTTATAATGTAACATCTAACTCGTTTTCATTGAGAATTCCTCAATTTATGTTAACAACATTTTTTCTAAAATTTGGCTGAATTATGCTCAATAGAAAATGTCCATTTACGTCCACATAGTGTAACAGGTACGTCCCACTTGGTACAGAACATTTGTGATGGAGGAGGAAGATCCTAGCTCTTAGATAACCATGTGTTTCCCCGTACACCTTGCAACGCATAAATTATTTAGAGATAGAATGAGCAGGTGTAGCCATTCAATCATTCATTTATGTGATGCATTTTTAAAAAAATGCATTGTAGACATTAAAACCTTATAGAAATTCTTTTTTTTCAAAATTCCAGAATTTTATTCTGATAATTTTTACGATAATTATTCATTCATATTTCATGCAAGTTCATGATACTGTTTATCAGCCTGAATTATGAATGGGTGCCTTTTGTTAATCATAGAATGAGGTTTACTCTGTTAAGGATATCAGACTGAATTATGAATGGGTGCCTTTTGTTAATCATAGTATGAGGTTTACTCTGTTAAGGATGATGCTACCAAATTTGTTGAAAGATTTATTAAGAAATTCAGTTCAATTTGAGATAACTCATAAGTTCTGACAAAACGTCTTTTCATTGTTTATTACTGTCGGTGCATAACAGATTTAAGCACAGCGGTTAAACTTTTACTTTAATCGTTAACTACCTGGTTCCCCATACTACCCATTATATTGTATAGTGCCCTGCATTGTCGAGTACCGTGCCTCCATCATAGTCCTGGATCTGCTGCATGAACATGCCATGAATATGTTATCACATAATGTTGAAAAAATAAATTCCTGATTATGTCTACTACATCGCCACCATGCACCCATACCCTCGATATAATCATAAAAACACAGACATTTTATTGCTAATGATACATAAAACAATTTGCCCTGGGAAAGTGTTTAAGACATCATATATGTATAAATGACAAAGTAAGTTAGGCAGTGAATCCTTGATAAGATGCCAAGCAAGATGTGCCACATAGATAACTCATTCACTAC